CAGTCACGGATGACTCGAATTCGAGGACGAATTCCTTGTTAGTGGGGGAGAATTATAACAACCCCAATTTCTACCTCAAGAATTGTTAGCATGCTAAACCTAAATATTGGCCTATTAATATCCAACCCCCACCCCCATCAGCTCATTTTTCCTGCAAAAATCAGAAGTTAGTGAGAGAGAGAGAGGAAGAGAGAAAGAGAGAGGAATGGAGAAAACCCATATGTCTGAGCAATCACCGGAGCTCGTCCGGACCACCACTCGTCGAGACCAGGCAGAGCTCATCACCACCGTCCACCACGGCCAAAGTAACCGGAAATCGCAGTGAGTTTAAGATTTGTTTTGTCTGTTTAGTAAATCGTCCATAACTTCCTAACCGTTGAAAATATCGTGCATGCAAGGCCACCACCGTGTTTTACTCGTCGAGACGAAACCGTAGACACCGAAAACGCCTCAATCGGAGTCCGGATGAAGCCACACGCGCCTTCAGAAGTTTATCCGGAAATCGTCGTCCGCCGCCGTGCTCCGCCGCTGGGCCGCCGCTGAACCACCGTGGGACCGTCGCCGGACCACCGCTGGACCGCCGCCACTTCGCCGCCGGACCACCGCCACTTCGCCGCCGGACCACCGCCGCCGGTGACTCGCCGATGACTTGGTTGACTCGGTAAACCGGTTGGTTTGATTGGTTTGGTCGGTTTAATTCAATTGCGATTTGGTTAAAGTAAACCAGTGGTTTAAATCAATTGAATTTGGGTTAGGAGTAAACCGGGTTGTAATTGATTGAATCTGGTCCAACTGAAATCGAATCCGATTAAGGAAAACCGGTTGGTCCAATTCCATTTCAATTTGGTCAAGGGTTGACCGGCTTAGGTCAGGGTTGACCGGGTTGACTTTTCCGTAGACGCCCGTTTTCGTCCGTTCGAAGGCCATTCTGACTCGGAATTTCGATCTGATTTCAGTTTTGGGATCTATTTGAGGAGCTGGAATTCATGGATACCACTTTTGCCCATTCCTAAGGTGAGGGCCTATTCCCGAACTTCTTTTACTTGGCGTAGGACCTCAAATATGCATACTTTAGTCCTAATATGTTCCGTCTCTGTGAAATCGAGTCTATCAAATGTATTTTTGGAGTCTGTTTGATAGTTATTTAGGTTCTATGCTTAAATCGGAATAGGGAGTCAGATGATTCAACCTTTCTTGCATAATTTAAATTGATGTAAATATGTATAAGAAATACTATATATATATATATTAATGTTTTCGAGAGGCAGACTTAGAGTCTGGCCTGTGACTAGCGGGGCAGAGGGTTGTACCTGCACGCTAGAGAGTTTGGGATGCGACGGCTTAAAATCGATCCACGTCGCATGCCCCGAGATCGATAAAGCGTCCCCGGGCGATGTGTATGGGCACTGATCCCATACGTGAAGCCTCAGTAGAGGGAGATTCCTACTGGGGGTGAGACCGGGCACTATCTCGGCGTTGGTCCGTTAGCGAGCAGCGACTATATAATATATTTATACGCTGGGACCATGATTTTTTCTTGGGCGCTTTAGGTGCCATGTTTGTTACGTGTTAGAGTTAAATTATGTATATTTGGGGTGTTATGACCGGGTCTACGGACTTCGAGGTAGCATCCCATATCACACTGAGTGACTTCCCAGTCACTCACCCCTCTGTCTTCCCCATTTCAGGTAAGACAAGCTTTAGAGTGATATTTGGACGACTTGGTGCTATTGGACTTTTTATTCGGATTTTTATTTGGGCTTGGGTGAGTGTAGTTGGGCTTATGGGCTTTTATGTTCGAGATATTATTGGTGGCCCATCGTCCCTAGAGAGAGGGAAACGGGTGTCACATTGTTATTTAATGACGCGTCGGGAATGACACGTTGTACTCCATATATGAGGTGATGGGTGTTACCAAAACATTACAGGTGGTTTAAAACTAAAACTTTGTTTTTTTTTTGCCACTTTCTAAGTTAATTTCAGCTCTAAAATACCAGATGGCTACAAATAAAAAAACAATGTTTCCACTTTCCACTACAGCTAATTAAAAGAGCGAGAGGAAGCTTCGAAGGTTTCACAAAGAGACATGAAATGAAAAAAATTATAAACATATATCAAGTTAAAAGATACGGGACAGAAGATATTTCTTGATTGCTTTCCATTACTTATCATGTCACATTGTAATCCTTCTTAGTTTATCTTTAAAAATCTCATCACAAAACATATCTCTTGAAGCGGGTGATCTATCCACGATGTCACACAGCTGGCGGAGTATTCTAATAGGGCGTGAAATTCTCCTGGAAAATCTAGGATGGGCGCTAGGGGATGAAAAATCGATTAAGCTCTGGCAAGACCTGTGGCTAAATCTGAGCAGACAAGAGAGACCAATGGGAACTCCTACAGTACAGAGTGTGGACTCTCTAGTCGCCGACCTTCTGTCGGAATATGGCAAAAACTGGGATCGAAGTAAAATACAACGGCTGCTCCCGGAGTACGAAGAGAAGATCCTATGTCTAACGCCTAGTGTAACAGGAGCCCCGGATAAGCTGATTTGGTTGGGATCAAGATCAGGAGAATACTCGGTTAAGTCGGGATATTTCATAGCTATGGAGTGTGACGATGGCCCTGTGATTGCTGAAACAGAGTTTAATTGGTCAAAGCAGGTCTGGAGCTTGGACTGTGCACCGAAAGTCAAGCTCTTCTGTTGGAAAGTTTTAAAAGGAGCTGTTCCAGTTGGCGAGAGACTGGTAGAGAGACACATCAATGCTGATCCAAAGTGCAAACGATGTGGAGAAAATGAATCTATTCTTCATCTACTTTTCCATTGTCATTTTGCTCAGCAAATTTGGCGCCTTGCCCCCTTCGTGAGAGAGATGGATAATAGAGGAACAATATATTTGCGAGTGGCGTGGCCGGTGTTAGTAAAGAAGCAATGCTTACCTACTGCAGGGATTTCTTCGGGAGGATTATTTCCTTGGCTGTTATGGGTCATTTGGAAAGCTCGAAACCGTTTTGTCTTCGAAGGATTTACAGCTACACCGGAGGATACGCTCTCATCTGCTATTAAATTGGCACGAGAATGGAGTGAACATAGTAAACCTAAGGCTTCAGTAGTTGAAAAAAGGAGGATGATAGTAGAAGAAGTACCTGCAGGGACTATAACAGTGCAATCCGATGCGGCGTGGAACCCTGTGGCGAGGATAGCAGGTATTGGCTGGACCAATTTGTTGCAGCCTCAATGCAGCTCGTTCCAGCAGCAGATGGAGTACGTGGCGTCACCTCTAATGGCGGAAGCTCTTGCGCTTAGAGAAGCAGTACTGTCGTGCAGAAGATTGGAGATGCAGAGGGTGAAATTTGAGTCAGATTCAGCGCAATTAATCAAATGCCTAAGCTCCGGGGATCCGGTGGTGGAGATACATAGTGTAGTTCTTGACATTATCGAGTTATCATCTGTTTTTGAGTTTGTGTCGTTTGTTTGGATCCCTAGGGGGAAGAATGCACTTGCGGATTGTTTAGCAAAAGGTGCTCTAAATGTAATCGAACCTTGGGTTGGTGTGGAAGCATTTGATGCTCCTAACTAATTCCTGCAGTAGCATTAATATAAGTGGTTCAAAAAAAAAAAAAACATATCTCTAACCATTCTTTAAATCTCTTAGGTTAATTGATTGGTGTTGTAGCTTTTAATACAATGGTTCCTTACAGTTACACTTCTTCTTTCCAAGTCTTTCTCTTGCTTCTAAACGAGAATCAAGCCCAAGAACAGATTAGTGTTCCTCCTTACAGACTTATAGTTTTACATCTTTAAAAATATTTTTGACTACATCTCTATATATATTTTTCAGAAATCTAAAACATATGAATATATATATATATATATATATATATATATTTACTGTATGATAAAAAGATCCAAAATTTATGAAATCCAATTTAAATATTTTCAATGTTACTACACTAACCATTCAAATATTTAAAAGCAATTCCATGGAAATCGAATTGCGCAATCACCATGAACCACCATTTGTCACCGATTCTCCCTACCACATAAGATAAACCTATAGCCCTTCCATAAGGAAATTAAATCTTAATTTTTAAAATGCATCATTAGCTACTACAATCGTATACTTTAAAGATTAAAGTAAGATAGCTACTAAACAAATATTAATAGTTTAACAACACAAATGGCAGAAATTCCGCGCGTAGCGCAGACATACCACTAGTGCTATTAAAAATTACTACTGTTTTTGTATGAATTGTTTTGATCATCTAAGAACTCATTTACAAAACCAATACTGGTTATTAGCATGTGCTATTCAGTTATTGTTTCATAAACTAATCATTTTAGTAAAATATGCTACAAATAAAAAATATTGATTTTAATAAAATAATATTTTTGAAAAATCTATATAAATATATGGTTTCAATATAAAAATATTTGAATCATTAATGTATATTAATTTATATAAGTATAAGAAATATATTTATCTTTTATTCACAGTAAAGTCCATTTTAACTTTTGTATACACTTTAAAATATTTTTTTCCTAAGAATATATTGTCCATTTTAAAAAAAAAAACTCGAATAAGTACTATAAATATGAACAAGCTATCAATATCATATCTCACCACTACTCCGAGAAAAAAAATTATTTGTTGAGTCATGTATCATATTAAGCAAATCAAATGTAGATATTTAGTCATGTCTTCTATTTTGATTTTCTGCACGATATCAAAATTCAGGTTCAATGTGCAGGAAAGAAAAGAAGGATATGTAGTTCACAAGGACATTCAGTAAGTGCCGAGCCAATTTTGGAGATCTAATTATACAGTTTTCAATTTTGTAGTGATCAATTCTAATATATTATCTTCGGCGGGAAAATTTTCTAAAATTATCCACCAGCATGAAAAGGCTGCACTCTCTGATGTGAAGATTCCTAATCTTAACTAAGAAAAGTTGGGTGAACCAGTTATATGGCGTTAAACTAATCTCGATCTTAATCTATGCAAGTATGGTTTGTTTTTTTCTTTGTTTTAATTTGTCTCAGGTTTGTGTAAGGAACTTAATCTCTGGTTTAGAAAACCCGTTTCTTTTAATGTATTTTTTATTAATCTAAACTTAACGTTTAATGGTAATCGGCTGTTTTATGTTCATATCTCTTTATCTCTTAATTATTTTGATTGTTGTGATTGCTTCTAATTTATTAGGTTTTGGTTAGATAAATTTCTGATTTAGTGTGATATTATTTAGAGTTATATATTTAAGTTGTTAGTCATTATAGTGTGATATAATCCTATGATTTACAAGTTTTTGGTTCAGATATTAATAATTAGTTATAAAAGAATTAGGGTGTATATTGTTAATTATCTCATAATATATGTGACATTATGAGGTGTAGATATCTATTTCCTTATGAGATTCGAACTGATATAAAAACATGATTTAAATGTGATATAAAAACTGAATTATTTTTTACAGTTATGTCTAGGTATTATTAGGAAATTATATTATCGTCATAAATTAATACATTATAGTAGAAGTCATGTATATAAAAACTGAAGTCACTTGGACACGTGGCACTCATACAGGCCTTCTCAGAGAAATTCTGAGAATCTGATTGGTTGATTTATTTTAATTTTCGTTTTTATTTATTTTTGGTTCGCCGTGCAAATGGTATGAGAATCGTATCTCAAATATTTTGTTAGGTTATTTACTTGCCTTACTCGGTTATTCGATAACTTGCGAAAGAAGTTGGAAATTAAATGCCAAAGATGTCAATCTCATACCATTAGGAAAGATTGACAATATATATTAACGATGTCCTTAATATAAAGGCAGAGATATATGTTTAGCGAGAAGGATTAAACGCGATACTGTTGAGAAAGGCAGAGATATAGCGACTGTTCTTGACCAGGTCAGAACCTTACTTCAAATGTTTGAGCTTTCCTGGCTGCATACAACTCTTGTTTTGAACTATTTCTTTGTTTGTAACACAACAGTACTCAAAGTTTGTGAAGCCAGCATTTGAGGATTTCATACTCCCAACAAAGAAGTACGCAGATATAATAATCCCACGTGGTGGTGATAATCATGTTGCTATTGATTTGATTGTGCAACACATTCGTACTAAGCTTGGTCAGCATGATCTCTACAAAATAGATCCTAATCTTTACGTCATTCAATCAACTTTTCAGGGGCTTACTTATTTCCTTTCCTTTTTTTTTTCTGTTAAGTGACACAAAAAGGCTGATTCCTTTAGCCGTTGATTGCAGATACGTGGGATGCATACTCTAATCAGAGACTCCAAAACAACAAAGCATGACTTCATCTTCTACTCGGATCGATTGATTCGTTTGGTAGGGTGTAAAACTAGAGTTATGTTATTTTACCATGTTCGTTATAATTAATGATGTTTTATTGCCAGGTTGTTGAGCACGGCCTCGGGCACCTTCCTTTTACAGAAAAGCAAGTGATCACTCCCACAGGCAATCTCTAATGAAACACTATATTCAGAAGAAGTATCAAATTAGAGTAAAGATTATAGTCTGATTGTTTCTGTGTAAACTTTAGAATCTGTGTATTCGGGTGTGGACTTCTGTAAGAGGCTGTGTGGTGTCTCAGTTATCAGAAGGTAAAAAGAAACCAGCACAAATATAAATAATTAAATGATTGAAACTCTTTTACCAAATATGAAACAGCGGTGAGAGTATGGAGAATGCTTTGAGAGCATGTTGCAAAGGCATCAAGCTTGGGAAGATTCTGATTCACAAAGAAGGCGACAACGATCAGCAGGTTTGTGTTCTTTGGCCTCTTTATCAATCAATTGTCCTTTTAATAATATGTGTGAACAAATTGGGAAACGAACAGCTTAGATACGTGAAGCTACCCTCAGACATTTCGGAAAGGCACGTGCTTTTGCTGGACCCTATCCTCGGGGCAGGTATGATTTGTTCTGCTCTTAACTACCTCTGCATAAGACAAGATAGGACAAGAACATGTGTATTGTTTGTGTGTGGGCAGGAAACTCGGCGGTGCAAGCGATAAGGCTCCTGATAAGTAAAGGAGTACCTGAATCCAACATCATATTTCTCAATCTCATATCTGTAAGTTGCCAAAACATGAACCCCAAAAACCAACTTNTCCATAGCTTAAGCAGAGTTACAATGTGTTGTGTGTTCAGGCACCGCAAGGAGTAAATGTGGTGTGCAAAAGGTTTCCGAGGATAAAGATTGTGACATCTGAGATAGAGATGGGTTTAAACGACAAGTTCAGAGTTGTACCTGGCATGGGCGAGTTTGGAGACCGCTATTTTGGCACTGATGACGAGTGAGTGAGTGAGTGAGAGAGAGCTTGTTTACTCAAGTTGAAATTTTGGGAACTCATTGTTGATTTTTTGGTTTACGGATTTTATAATGGGATTCACACATATGGTAATACCGGAACAAAAATTTCTAAATGAAGAAAGCCTCTATGTTGGTTAGAGGGTCTTGTGGAACTCCTATTAAAATTTCAAAATTGTCTTTGTAAGAAACAGAGGACTCAAACAGAGTTAAATGTTAAAATAATTATGTTGTATCCTTTCATTGATATAGTTGTTGAGTATAAATAACGTTGGTTGCAGACTGAAAGTGCAACTGCATGGAACCTGCAGATGAGTCCAATGTACAACTTAGGCCTCGATTGGTACAGTAGATGATAAAGCAGTAGCAGTATGCTGCAAAAACAGTATGTTACAAAAGCTGTATTCTTTCATAAAAATTTTAATAAAGTGATTGGTAGAGCATTAGCAGTATACGATTTTAAAATTATCATAATAGTTAGTAAAATAATATATTACTTTTAAAATAATATATATATATAATATATATTAATAATATTAATTTTATTAAAAATAATGAATTTTCATTATATAATTATATTTAAAAACTTAAAGTTTTTTTAAAAATAATAATTTTTTTTTGGATATAACAGATTACTCATATATAAAATTATAGTTATAATTTAATTAATCATTATTAAATTATAATTATTATTAAATAAATAAATTATAATTTATATATAAATTATTATTATTTATTTATAAGTAGAGCACTAAATTACTCATATATAAAATTATCATAAAAGTTAATATATAATTTATTTATTAGTGTCTAAATAATATGTTTATATCAATAGTATATAAATTATATTATGTTATGTTTGTTATTAGAAATAATGAATGATATATGTAATTATATAAATTATATTATATTTTAAATGTGAAATATTGTTCTTTTAAAAAAAATTATAATTTTTTATTTTTATTTTTTAAAATATAAATTTATATTTAATTATAAAAAATATTTTTTATATTTTTTAAAAAAAAAAATAATTATAGATAAATATTATTAATTTTTATATTTTCTATATGCAAATGCTCTCCCAAAAGCTCTATATGAGAGCATTGAGCAAAGAGCATCTGGTGAGCATTTGCATTTGGTAAATGCTTTTTTAAATGCTTCTTTGCCAAATGTTGATTGGATAATATGCTAATGCTCTACCAATCAACCCCTTATCCCTGCAAGGTCAGCAGCTAGGCCGTTTTATCCGTTAAATTTTATTTTTTATTATTCGTTTCGATTCGATTTGAAAATCTGGATATCCCTAAGCTATCGAAACAAAGCAAATATTAAAATTCAATAAAAAATGAAACAAATCATAAATATTAAAAATTTAGAATTAGATATCCAATCCGCTCTGACTTTTATACAAATATATATATATATATAATTAAATATAAGTTTAAATGCATAATTTTATATAATTATTATTTCAACATATCGTTTTATGTTGAAACATATTAAATTATTTTATATTGTAAATCTACTAATATTATTTTCGTCTCAATAAAATTTAGAAATCTATTGAATTATTTTATATTGTACAGTTGCTAACAAAATTTGACAATTTTTTGCAGGTTTCTATGGGATATTTTTAATTCATAACTGTTCTTCTTATTTTATATTACTTATGATTATATTTAAAATTTTTATTACATTTTCTTTGCAGGTTTCTATGGGATTGTGTTATATATTTCTATAGATTTATATCAAAATCAAAACTATTTATTATTCTTTAATTTTATACTCATATTATGGTATTAGGAAAGATATACCTTGTTGGTAAAAGCTTTTAATTAGTTAATCCGTTTATTAATAACTTGCCCTATTTTGCCTTATTTTGCCATCAATTACTTGTCTTAAATGGTATGTCAATTATTGCAAATTTATGACAGTCAATTTTTAATATCTTTCATTAAATTGCTTCATGGCTTATTATGAATTTTTTTCCATTTTTTTAATATATTTCTTTAAATTGCTTTATGCCTTATTTTTAATTAATATAACTTGCACAAGAAAACTAATATTTAATTCAAATCAGCTTATGATATTGTAGATCTAATAACTTTCTTTATCAGTTTAAATATTTATTATAAAAAAATAATATTTTCTGCTTTGCCTTCTAAATCGGTATTACACTTTATAATTGCTTAGATTTTATAGTTACAATAGCATACTAATGAGATGAACTATTTCTCTTGCATGTCATGATGTTGCAGTCCTTAGGTGATATTTCCTTGTGGTGATTTTTCAGGAACTCATTTGTCCAAAAGAAAAAACCAAGAAGATCATGACAGTAACCTTGGAGGATCAACACTCTGTCAACAAAAAACATTCCCACAAAAAAATCAAAGACGAGTGATATCGAATTTTTTAAGAAAATATTTATTTGTGAACAGTTTCCAGGAACAACACATTTAGTCTTTTGTCACTATCCGCGTTATTCATTATTATTTATTTCAAATAAAAACACATTGAGTCTTTTCTTATGCTCATGAAAATTTTTAAAATAACACTCATGTTTTAGTAATAATCTGGTGGAAGAGATAAAATTATCTAATTTTCGTTCTAATGACGTGTTATTATTTAGTCAATGTATTCGTTATTGTTTTTTTAGTTATATTTTTATTAGATTATTTTTTTCAGATCTCAATATATAATAAGGTCATTTTTATAGTTATTATTATCGTCATTTAACAATTATATTATTACTTGTTTATTATTTAATTCTCACAACTTGCCTTGAATGAAAAATATGTCCACATTTACCACATTANTTTATTAGATTATTTTTTTCAGATCTCAATATATAATAAGGTCATTTTTATAGTTATTATTATCGTCATTTAACAATTATATTATTACTTGTTTATTATTTAATTCTCACAACTTGCCTTGAATGAAAAATATGTCCACATTTACCACATTAATGATTACCAATTAATGATGATTACAACATCACGTAACATATACTCCATCCGTTCCTAAATGATTGATGTTCTGGAAAAAAAATAAAATTTCAAAAAGATTGATTTTTTACCTTTTCAATGTATGATTTAATGAAAAATTGTAAGTTTCAAAAATATTAATGGTGTTTAATGAATTTATATTGGCTAAAAGCTATGGAAAAATTTTATTCATAAAAAACAATGCATTTACAATCAAAATTTATTGAGTTTTCTTAATATATGTGAAAAGTCTAAAACATCAATTTTAAAAAACAGAGGGAGTATTGTATTAATTTAATTCACAAGATCGATTGGTAATAATTAAGAATGATTTATGTTAACGCATTAAATTCAGAACATCTATATAGCAATAAAAAGAATGTAATAAATAATACGAATATATTATTTGATACTAACTTATCGTGCAACCATATCAACACTTATATATATCTTACATTTTCTTATGGTTTACCTTTTAAGTTGCTTATTTTCTTCAAAAAAGCTTAATCTAATGACGTTTTTTACAAAAAAATAACTTCTTCTGTTATCAGCAAGGACTATGATGAAGAAAATATTGAAGTTAATAAAGAAGCATGTTATTGGGCATCAGCAAAGGATCTACGCAAGCTGTTTTGTGTCCTATTACTAACACATAGTATCACAAATCCAGAAAACGTTTGGAATGCTACTTGGAAAAAACTATCACAAGATATATTATGCAACCAAAGAAAAAATACGGATAAACTAAGTAAACTCATGTTTTTATCAAAAGAAAACGTCATTNTTACATCTTCTTTTTCATAGTATTGTCTTATAACTTTTATTAGATCACTGAAACAAAAAGTGAATTGATGTATCAAATGTACTAATCTTTAATGACCTAATTAAATTTGGTTGTCCCAAATCAGAATAACGAGAGAGAGAGAGAGAGAGAGAGAGAGAGAGAGAGAGAGAGAGAGAGAGAGAGAGAGAGAGAGAGAGAGAGAGAGAGAGAGAGAGAGAGAGAGAGAGAGAGAGAGAGAGAGAGCGAGAGCGAGAGAGAGGGATATGTGTAACATTTCTTTTAATCTGTCTACATACATTTTACGAAAAATTTATGCATAATAATATTTTCACCTAAAATAAAGAATTACAACACATATAAAATACAATTCTAATTAGTGATAATAGAAAATATGTTACTTATAAAACTACACACTATTAATTTCAGATTTGGAAAACAAAATTCAACCTTCAACACACAATTTTTTTGTGATGTTGCAATTATAAATAAACACAATAACTACCTATTGATACTGAAGTTACTTTGTTCCATCTCCTCCACGTAAAATATTGTGTACCGGCATTTTTTTGTGCCTGAAGCTTGACCTCAAAGACGGTGGTCTTATGATATAAAATATATTACTTCTAAAACTTTGTATTATTAAGTCCATAATTTGAATCTATATATACCCGCACAGGGTGCGGCCGGTCACCTAGTTAATACATTATAGTAGAGGTCATGTACTAGAAGTTATGTATTCTATCTAAGGAAATAAACATGATTATACTTTTGAAATTAAACTACTTCTTTTGGGATTTGATTGAAAGTTATTGTGAATTGTCAATATTGACAATTTTCAGTTTTGAATGTCATTTTTTCAACTTATATGAATATAACTCAACAAGTTTACCAGATAAATAAAAAATATAAGCTTTGTAAGCCATCTATCAATCAAAATCAATAATAAAGGCATCAGGTTTAGAACAGCTTTTAAAAATGGGAAAATTATTATACCACTTTTCATGTTTACCATCAACAAAGAAACATTTTCAAAAATACACATTTTATTAAAGGATAAAAGACTCTTATATCTTTGTTCTTTATATATATACATATCAATATTAAATAAAATATTAACCATAAACCCTAAAACATCAATTCTAAACTATAGGCCCTAAAAAGTAAACCCTAAACCCTAAAAATCAACCCTAAACCCTAAAATATCAATTCTAAACCTTAAACCCTAAACTCTAAACCCTAAAAAGTAAACCCTAAACCCTAAAAAATCAACACTAAACCCTAAACTATCAATCCTAAACCCAAAACCCTAAATTCTAATAGTATTTTGACTATTAAAATTTTAATGGTAAAGTTGGTTAGTGTAAAGTTGAAAAGTGGTATCTTGAAAGTCTTATTTCTAGCAATTTCCCTTTAAAAATTCTACTAATTTCATAATATTTTTAATTACAATAATTAACATTACATTTTGAGATATACAAAATGAATTTCGGAAATTGACAGCCCAATAATAGAAAGTACCATGTTTTTTGTCCAACTAAACAAAACAGCTCAAAGTGATTAATACAATTTATCTATCGAATTTTGAAGCTCATTGTGTATATGTATACTAACTCATCTAATTTCGTGTATATTCTAACTTATACCCAATATCTATATTGAAACCCTAACTATATTTATATTCTATTAACACCATAAAAAACTATTGTCCAATTATATGTTATAGTGATATGCATTACAAAGAAAACAAACCCTCGCTTCCAATGCGCGGTCAAAATCTAGACTTTGATTTTTATGGTGTTATATTCATATCAATACTATTGAAGTAAATTGATATAAAATCACTATGTCGAAAACTTTGACAACTTTCTCAATAACGGTGCTCGATTTAACACAAAACAGTTAGAAGTATAACTCCCTATACTCCTCATTACAATTAAATATACTCAATTTTATATGATCCATAAATGCGATCGAAACATACATATGTAAATTTCATCTTATTTGAAAAAGATACAATACCCACGCTTTCAAAATCTAGTCTTATATATTAAAACAGAAGTCAGAATCTTGATCATGTGTGATATTTAAAAAATAGATCCTCACTAGAAATCAATTATCATTCATTTATTCCTAATAATATGGTTTAATAATGTTTCTTTTTTAATATAACAATCATTCCTATAAAACTAGATTAGTTAACAAACACATAATTGATTTCTTAATAAATTATACATATTGGTAATGTAAGCCATCGTATATTTCAAATTATTGAACCGATGAAATAATTCAACCAATGTATATATAATGGTTGTATAAACTACGTTAATCATAACTAGATTTTCATTCGCACAACCGTGCGGATATATATTCTCATGTTTATATATAAATATTTGTTTTACGGGTCAAAATATACATTTTTAATGTTACTCACATATTTAAATATTTTTATAATTATTTCAAATACAATAATTTTATAGTTGTAATGCTGTAAATTCAAATCATCATATATATATATATGTTTCTTCTTATTATATATTTTTCTTATTGAATTTGCGTTTGATTATTAAACCAATTTCTTATATATGAAATAACATATTTGAAAATTATTTTGTTTATAATTTATTATGATCACAACCCGTAATTAAAATGTTAGTTTACCAAATTTTTTTATATTTCTTCATTTTATATAATAAATTACTGTATATAAAAAGTTAATATAAATTGAATTTTATATATGAATTATATAGTTTACGAATGTTAACCCGTTTTACCAACAGATTATATTTTTAGGATAAATTTTTTATATTTATTAACATAAACATATTAACTTAACAATTTCAAAAAACTTTATCATATTTAGTTCAATATCATAGTTTTCTTTTAACATGATAGATATTATATACAATAGATAAAATATGATATAATTTTATTTTTTCATTTTATAAAATATAGGTGAATATTTATATATATATATATATATATTAATGTATAATAACATTTCATTACTAATTATAAAATTAGTGAAAATACTTATTTTCAATATTTGAAAATTAATATATTGTTATAATCTTTTTCAACAGATTTTCTAGAATATATATATATATATTTATTTAGTTATTTATTAATTTATTTTTATAATTAAAAATATCATAAGATATTATGACTAAAGTAGTTAAAAGTATTTAATAGTATTAGCATTAAGAATACACATTTAATAAAAAAAATTAAGTGATGGTCTAAATAACAATATCGTACATAAAAAAAATCATGACTTTTATTTTAATAGAATAGATGTATATATATATATATATATATATATATATTCTTAAAACAATTAAATAAAATAAAAATTTATTTGAAAAATATCTTTTAAAATTTTTAGTAAAATGTATTTTGAAATTAATCAATTTCATTTTATATTATGAGTTAATATAATTAAAATTATTTAATTTTAAAAATTAGTTTATAAACCAAACCAAAACTAAATTCAGTTTTAATTTTAATTTCTAATTATATTTAATGATAATTAAAAATATTTAATCTTTCGATATCTTTTCATTTTAAATATAAATATTTTTTGTAAAAAAAATCTAACAAATCTGTTTAAAACATTTTAACAAGATCTTAATATTCAAAAATCCTGAGTAAATATTTTAATAATCCGTAATTAGTTTTAAAATATTATTATATATTAATATATTTTAGAAATATAGAATAAATTTTTAAATAAATATGAGAAATTATATTAAATAATTAAATTTATATATTTTATTTCCAGAAGTATTTATGTTCAAAATATAATATGTTGGTAACAGGGGTTAATATTCGCAAACTATTTGATACATTTATAAAAATTAACATGTATTTCATTGAAGCTGCTAATATAAAATATTTTTAACTATTTTAATCATGATATGTTTTTATTTAAATCTAAATATATATATATATAATTCTAAAAAATCCGTTATTTTAACAATATCTTAACTTTCTGGAAGTTTTCTGGAAGTTTATGTAAATATTTTAAATAATTTTGTAATTAGCACTGATCTATTATTATGCATTGGTATATATTCAATTATCATTTATAAAATGAAAAATAAAAATTATATCTTAATTTATCTATTATATAATTATCATAATAATTCATGTTAAAATTAAATTATTATATTGAATTACATATGATAAATTATACTTAATTGATAAATTTTAATTTTATTTCCATAAATATAAACTATTTATGCTAAAAATATCATACGGTGACATAACGACTTAACATTCACAAACTATATAATACATGTACAAAAATTGACATATCTTAGAATTTTGTATATATAAAGATTATATTTTTAAATGAATAAACGTGAAAAATATTGCTAGTCGGAATTGGATATAAATTTGATACAAAATAATTTTCAAATACGTTTTTTATGCATATATTAAGTTTTTAATAACTAAATCAAAATTCATTAACATAAATATATAATAAAAAAGCGACAAATACATGTGATGGTTTTAAACTATTGATTAATTACACCATGAAAACTATCAAATTATAGTGTTTCAAAAAAAAACAATGAAATTATTATATTTGAAATAGGTATATCAACATTTAAATATATGGTTAACGTTAAAATTTTATACCACTAAAGAACTGAAATAAATATAAACATTTATAAAACTGAAAAGAACTCCCGCTCAGTTGCACGGATCAAGAAATAGTTACTGTTAATTGTCAAAAAATCCATATAAAATCTTATAAATAATAATTTATAGTGTCTAATGGTAGAAATTATGGAAATTTTATATAATAATTCATCATTTATTGTTTATTCATTATTAGTCTATTTATAAGCCATATAAAATATATTTTGAAAAATAGTTAATAAAAATAATATACTAGCTTTATTTTTCTATTATAAACCAGTGGTAGAAACAAATACTATAATATATATATATATATATATATATATATATATACTTTAATAAGAAAAGACATTATAATAACTATTACTGCATCATAAAATGAGTTTATAAATTATTTACATGAGTTTAAAATCAATTTTTGATGATTAATATTTTCTAATTATTTTATAAAAAAAAATATATATAAAAAGTTTATATTTATAATAAAATTTCGTAAATCATTTATAGGGTTTTCTGTCATGAATAATGAATATTATATCATTAATTATATTTTATAAAACAATTTATAAGGATTGATAAAAATGTTATGAAGACTTATAAAACTATTTATTAGGAATAATTTCTCATATCATCTATAAGAGGTTAGAAAATATCTATGAAAATTAACAGGTTTGTAAATTATTTAAAATTAAAATCCATCAATATGTATTTATAAAAATATTTTATGAAGTTCTGTAATCATTTTTAAAGTTTATACATTATTTATAATAGATACCAAGTTATTTTCTTAAGTTATAAAACACCTTATTAGGAATTATTAAACTATTTATAATTAAGCTTCCAAAAAATATTCCTAAAATTTAAAATTTGTAAATGTGTTATAAATTATTTAAAATTATATAGTTTCCTTTATAAGAGTTTATACAATCAGAATCAATCTCAAAATATTATTTTCTTCACAAGTTCATCATTTTCAAAAATCTCAAAAGACAAAAAAGCGTTTTGATTTTATCTAAAAACAAAATAACCACAAAAGAAATTACACCAGCCGTAAAGTTTAAAAATCGTAGTACATCGGGTAAATAACTAAATGGGCCGAATGTCAGGCGTAATGGACTTATCTGATCTACCGCCAAAGGTTCTGGCATAAAACCGAACTAAACCAAAAAGTTCCGTCCGAACCAATTTGACGAATAAACGAGGATCTTAAAAGAGGACGGCCGGTATTCACTTCCTCTGTTTATATAAACGAGTCACTCTCTCCGCGTATTCTCTCTGCTCTATGATAGAATATGCCTATCTATATTCTAGGATCTACTAACCTCTAAGATCTTATCCCTTGTATTGTGTAACAACTCAACTAACTTGTGTATATATATCTTGTAATCACGTTCAATGAATGACAAGGGAAACACATTCTATAACAGTCTACTCATTCTTACCAAACCCATGGCCGGAGAAGGGGGAGAACTGACGGTGACTCTGCTTACAAATACGGCGGAGAACGTCGGAGAAAATGATAAGTTGGATATGAAGGAGAAGGTTTGGAGGGAATCTAAGAAGCTGTGGGTTGTGGCGGCGCCGGCCATCTTCACGAGATTCTCTACGTCCGGAGTATCTTTGATAACACAAGCTTTCATTGGCCACCTTGGCCCCACCGAGTTGGCTGCTTACTCCATTACCCTCACCGTTCTCCTCCGTTTCAGTAATGGAATCTTGGTGAGTACTCTTCTACTTTCTTGATTCCAACTTTAATACATATTGATTTTGGTGTTAAAAAAAAATATTTATTTCAAGATTCTCTGATTAGTTTGTTAATGAGAGAATGCTATTATTACATACGTGAATGCTTAGATAGGCTTCTTGTTAGATTGTTTTGGTTTCGTACTTTCTGCCTCTACGAAATGAAATTTCGCTATTCCAAATTATATTTTAGACGGGGTTGAGAAACATTGTTATTCATAGTTGACGTGAGTGTTCGTTTATGTAATTATCTTTTTGGTGTAACTGGTGAAAAATATAATGAATATATGAAATTGTACCAATTGTCATTTATAGAATTTAATAATAGAATGGAATAACATTCCACTTATTCCAAAACATTTTTTATTTGGATTGCTTTTCAAATAAAATTGTTTTCTGGAATAATATAGAATGTTATGGAATGAAATTACATACTTTTTCCATTTTTATTGTGACTGGTTCATATTTATTGGAATGCAAAAGAATTAAGCATTTAGGAAGTTCTTACTCTAAGACAATGCATTCTAGTTGCACTTTATTCTTTCGAAATTCGGCAGAGAACATTTCATTCCTATCTAGAATTCAATCAGTGAAATAATATATATATTAAAGTTGGAAAATGCAAGAAAACACCTTTAACAAAAAGTGGAAGAATATATTGATTCTATTAAATAGTTTAGAACAATGTATGGTCAGAAAAATATTTTACAATAGGGCGTAATAGCTCGGTCAAAAAGAAAAACCTAATATAGCGGGTTAGCATTAAATTTAATGTGGGGTTCTTCAAGTGGAGTTCTTATCGAAATATAAGAATCTTTTTCTTAATTTTTAGTTAAAAAACTAAAAAATTATTTTTAAATAAGATATTTAAAAATATATTTTTAAAGTTATCAATTAAAAGACAAATTCTATATTCTGCTAAGAATTCTACGTTAAGAACCCTGTATTAAACATGTTCTTAACCAATGAAGAAGAAATATTCATTTTTCTAATTTTGTTTTAAAATGTAGTAACGGCTCAGTCTCAACAAGTGTGACCACTGAGAATATTCGTTGGCCACAAATGTCCAATGGTGACTTGCCAATGCCATCGTTTGTGGGATTGGTAGATTCCCATTTATAATGAATTAATACTTAAAATACTTAATACAGAACATTATAATATGCTGCACAACAGAGAAGACATTAAGGGTGATTGATTGGGTGGTAATTAGTGACTTTAGCTTTAATTTCTATCTACAACCATCTAAATCATCAATTATGTTTTAAGTAGTTTTTAAAACTAAAGTCAAAAAAATTAAAAAATAGTTGTAAAAACCCTATTTTCTTAAACAAAAAAAATATTACTGCATAAAATTACTGTAGGAATATGTTTTTTTATATGTATTTTTTTTCATTTAATTTCTACAGCTACATTAGATATAACTACATCAAAAAAAATCTACAATCTAAATTTTACAGTAAAATTTCTATATCTACAGTCCAACCAATCACTCTCACTAGTATTAATGTTTATTACATGTATACCCCACGATTTTAACCATTCATAAATATGAATGGAAGACACAAACCGGCGACTGGTTTAATGAAGTAGCAGCACATGCTTCCGTTAAATTAATTAACCGTTGAAAATATAAGCGACTCCAACTGTGATATCCATCTCCAATCAAAGATATACGATGGCATATCAATACATGTGTTTCACATGTATGCTACATAAGTACATATCACGTTTTCACTAGTCTTTAAATCCAGACTGCTCTCTTATATACAAATCTACTAACTCAAACGAATCACAACTTCTATCCAACTAACTTATAAAGAGCAGTAAAAAGAAAAGAAAACGAGTAATTTGGCTTATCCAATGAAAACAATACCAGTCACGTTGTGATCATGTAGCGAAAGCTTCAAGAATTTAAAAATACCTTTCCCAGTGTTTTACGAAAAGCTTCAGTCACTCTCTCCGCGTATTCTCTCTGCTCTATGATAGAATATGCCTACCTATATTCTAGGATCTACTAACCTCTAAGATCTTATCCCTTGTATTGTGTAACAACTCAACTAACTTGTGTATATATATCTTGTAATCACGTTCAATGAATGACAAGGGAAACACATTCTATAACACTCTACTCATTCTTACCAAACCCATGGCCGGAGAAGGGGGAGAACTGACGGTGACTCTGCTTACAAATACGGCGGAGAACGTCGGAGAAAATGATAAGTTGGATATGAAGGAGAAGGTTTGGAGGGAATCTAAGAAGCTGTGGGTTGTGGCGGCGCCGGCCATCTTCACGAGATTCTCTACGTCCGGAGTATCTTTGATAACACAAGCTTTCATTGGCCACCTTGGCCCCACCGAGTTGGCTGCTTACTCCATTACCCTCACCGTTCTCCTCCGTTTCAGTAATGGAATCTTGGTGAGTACTCTTCTACCTTTTTGATTCCAACTTTAATACATATTGATTTTGGTGTTAAAAAAAATATTTATTTCAAGATTCTCTGATTAGTTTGTTAATGAGAGAATGCTATTATTACATACGTGAATGCTTAGATAGGCTTCTTGTTAGATTGTTTTGGTTTTGTACTTTCTGCCCCTACGAAATGAAATTTCGCTATTCCAAATTATATTTTAGACGGGGTTGAGAAACATTGTTATTGATAGTTGACGTGAGTGTTCGTTTATGTAATTATCTTTTTGGTGTACCTGGTGAAAAATATAATGAATATATGAAATTGTACCAATTGTCATTTATAGAATTTAATAATAGAATGGAATAACATTCCACTTATTCCAAAACATTTTTTATTTGGATTACTTTTCAAATAAAATTGTTTTCTGGAATAATATAGAATGTTATGGAATGAAATTACATACTTTTTCCATTTTTATTGTGACTGGTTCATATTTATTGGAATGCAAAAGAATTAAGCATTTAGGAAGTTCTTACTCTAAGAAAATGCATTCTAGTTGCACTTTATTCTTTCGAAATTCGGCAGAGAACATTTCATTCCTATCTAGAATTCAATCAGTGAAATAAAATATATATTAAAGTTGGAAAATGCAAGAAAACACCTTTAACAAAAAGTGGAAGAATATATTGATTCTATTAAATAGTTTAGAACAAATGTATGGTCAGAAAAATATTTTACAATAGGGCGTAATAGCTCGATCAAAAAGAAAAACCTAATATAGCGGGTTAGCATTAAATTTAATGTGGGGTTCTTCAAGTGGAGTTCTTATCGAAATATAAGAATCTTTTTCTTAATTTTTAGTTAAAAAACTAAAAAATTATTTTTAAATAAGATATTTAAAAATATATTTTTAAAGTTATCAATTAAAAGACAAATTTTATATTCTGCTAAGAATTCTACGTTAAGAACCCTGTATTAAACATGCTCTTAACCAATGAAGAAGAAATATTCATTTTTCTAATTTTGTTTTAAAATGTAGTAACGGCTCAGTCTCAACAAGTGTGACCACTGACAATATTCGTTGGCCACAAATGTCCAATGGTGACTTGCCAATGCCATCGTTTGTGGGATTGGTAGATTCCCATTTATAATGAATTAATACTTAAAATACTTAATACAGAACATTATAATATGCTGCACAACACAGAAGACATTAAGGGTGATTGATTGGGTGGTAATTAGTGACTTTAGCTTTAACTATCTACAACCATCTAAATCATCAATTATGTTTTAAGTAGTTTTTAAAACTAAAGTCAAAAAAATTAAAAAATAGTTATAAAAACCCTATTTTCTTAAACAAAAAAATATTACTGCATAAAATTACTGTAGGAATATGTTTTTTTATATGTATTTTTTTCATTTAATTTCTACAGCTACATTAGATATAACTACATCAAAAAAAAATCTACAATCTAAATTTTACAGTAAAATTTCTATATCTACAGTCCAACCAATCACTCTCACTAGTATTAATGTTTATTACATGTATACCCCACGATTTTAACCATTCATAAATATGAATGGAAGACACAAACCGGCGACTGGTTTAATGAAGTAGCAGCACATGCTTCCGTTAAATTAATTAACCTTTGAAAATATAAGCGACTCCAACTGTGATATCCATCTCCAATCAAAGATAAACGATGGCATATCAATACATGTGTTTCACATGTATGCTACATAAGTACATATCACGTTTTTACTAGTCTTTAAATCCAGACTGCTCTCTTATATACAAATCTACTAACTCAAACGAATCACAACTTCTATCCAACTAACTTATAAAGAGCAGTAAAAAGAAATGAAAACAAGTAATTTGGCTTATCCAATGAAAACAATACCAGTCACGTTGTGATCATGTAGCGAAAGCTTCAAGAATTTTAAAATACCTTTCCCAGTGTTTTACGAAAATCTCTTCAAAATTCAAAAACTGAATACAAACTTACGTCTACGAAGCTGTATATAGGTTCATGCTTACCATCCACATAAACATTATCACGTCATCAACCTATACAGTTCATATGTATAGAGTCATCATCTTTGTAGCTATATCGTATTTGTAATTTTTTGTCATCATATTTTGTATGGGAAAATTCTTTAAAAATATAGGAACTAATTTTAATTTATTAAAAAAAACACACGAACTATTAAGGGGTTCCAATTAATATATAGACTAATTTTTGTTACCTTATAAATACATAAACTTTTATAATTGAGAGGTTTTACATTTTGATTTTGACGATGTCAACTTTGTTTAAAGGAATTTTAAAACACCATTTAATATTTAATTGAGAAAATTCTTTAGAAATACAAATATTAATATTCATTTGTTAAAAAAATATACAAACTATTAAAGTTTCCTAATTAATACGCAAAATAATTTTCGTTACCTTATAAATTTATGAAGTTTTGAAATTCAAAAATTTTACACCTCAATCTCTTGTTGTAATTGTGCTTGTTGGTCGGGCTTCCGTAATATTCACATTTGTATGTTATAGGTTCCCATATCTCTAGGGTTTTTTTTTTTGTTTATTAGTCGCATTTTTCAACCACTCTAGAGATTATCTCTTTTGACTCGATACTTCTGGTTGTAATCAAACTTGTCTCTTTAATCTGAGTTTCAGATCCAGCAGCAATCTATTTTCAAGTCATGTACGTTCGTTGAAATAAGAAAAATATCTCTTTAGATCGGCATATTTCAATCCATAGAAATTAATTTAACTCATCCACTAATAAAATGTCAAAAACAATTTTAAGAAGAAATTCATTGGGCTGAATACTTTCCTTGTCACTTCTTGTGATGATGATATCATCTACATGTACAAGGATAACTACAATACATTGTTAAGTTAAAAGAGTGAGGAGTGTCTGACACATAACTCCAAACAAAATGTAATTACGCACATTGTCAAAATCAAGGTGGAAACCTCTAAATTTCAAAAATTCATATATTTATGGGATAATCAAAATTAGTGTGTGTATTAATTGAGAAATCTTAATAGTTAGTGTATTTTTTAACAACTCAAAAATAATTCGGGTATTTTAAGAATTTTTTTAATTATATACTAGACGACGTCTAAACCTCTATTAAACAGAGTTAGCAACATCAAAATCAAAAGTGTAAAACCTCCACATTTGAAAAATATGTATTTTGGGGTAATTCAACCAAAATTAGTCTGTGTATTAATTAGGGAATTTTAATAGTTTGTGTATTTTTTAGCATATCAAAATTAGTTTGTGTATTTTAAAGAATTTTGCTTATTTGTATTTGATATGTTAATAGTTATCAGTGGTTCATGCTCATAGTTTAGATATCAATATGCATCGTTGAATGTAGTGATCTTTGTAGTACAAGATGAACGTTTTTTCCCCTTTTAAGAAGTAACAAAGTAAAAGAGAAACATCAGTCGAATAGGATAAAAGATTCTCGGAAGAAAAAGCAAATCAAGATTTCTTTTTTTGTTAGCAGTGGAAATTCCGAACTTGGTACACAACCTCCTCGAGACTCGAAATAAGCCTTTAGATATTCCAATTTTAAAAATAAGGGAACTAACCCTTTGTGCACTGATTGGTATTAGGCCACCAATACCAATCTTGATATTCAATTTATGGCTTTTAGATATGTGACTGATATAATTATAGATTTAGAGAAACCTGCAAAATATAATGGTTTCTGACAGCTTTTTATAATTTGATAACAAAATATTTACCTATAATAATAAATATACCATTTAGTAAGAGAGAAATATACACAAATGTCAACTTTTTCTAACCCACAGAGAGATCTCGTTGTAATTTTAGTAACATATACATTACATGCCTAGAAATTGATTATGAAAAGAATATTATTCAAATTCACTCTGAAGTTATTATGATCATGTATTTCCAAACCGTCAATGACAAGTTTATGCAGTTAGGTATGGCTAGTGCACTAGAAACACTATGTGGTCAAGCCTACGGAGCCAAACAATATCATATGCTAGGGATTTACCTCCAAAGATCATGGCTCGTCCTCATAGGAAGTACCATTTGCCTCACGCCAATCTACATTTTTGCTGGCCCTATCCTCTTAGCCTTAGGTCAAGAAGAACGCCTTGTCCGTGTAGCTCGAGTCATAGCCCTATGGGTCATAGGCATCAACTTCTCCTTCGTACCTTCCTTCACTTGCCAAATGTTCCTCCAGGCTCAGAGCAAGAACAAGATCATTGCCTATGTCGCTGCTGTCTCCTTAGGGGTCCATGTTTTCTTGTCTTGGCTACTAATGGTTCATTTCGAATTTGGGATCGGTGGTGCCATGACCTCGTCACTCGTAGCACATTGGTTGCCTAACGTAGCTCAGCTCTTGTTCGTAATATGTGGTGGGTGTAAGGACACATGGAGAGGATTCTCTTGGTTGGCTTTCAAAGATCTTTGGCCAGTATTCAAATTATCTTTGGCTTCCGGAGGCATGACTTGGTATGGTTTTCAAATTTTATCTGACGTCTTATAGTGTCGAATCGTATAATATATTAAGAAATATCTCGTTAAACAAGTATACATATAATATAACAGATACAAATACTCTTTGCGATGTTAAATGCTTTGAAAGTGCCCAACTTTGTTAATACTAGTCCGGGTTGTAGTCTAATAGTTTTGTCTTATTGGTCGATAAAAGTTTCTTAACTACACGAAGTTTACACTAATATGGTGGAAATCATCCAATGTATAAAAATGTGTCAAGAACTACACGAAATATATGTTAATACATGTCACATATATGAAGTAAATGATATTATGGTAGCAACATCACAATCGATTTTAATTGATCTTAAGTTAAGTTAATGGGGTCAATCCGTAATTTATGAAACTTAACCAAATTAATTAATTTTAATTATTAAAGTTAATAAAATAATAAACTAATAAACATAATATTTTTTAAAAATGTGATAAAATTAAAAACATAATAAACATAATATTTTTAAAAAATTTGATAAAATTAATAAACATAATAAACATAATTTTTTAAAAAAAAACTTAAAAAAATTATTAAACTTAATAAATTATTAAACTTAAAAAAATTATTAAACTACATAACCTTAATAAACTTAACAAACTTAATAACTTATAAACTTAATAAGTTATTAAACTTAATATACTTAGCAAACTTAATAAACATAATAATTTAATAAATTTATTAAAGTATTAAACTTATTAAACTTAATAAATTTATTAAATTCTTTTGTTTATTAGTTTTAGGATTCTAGCTTATTAAACATAATAATTTTTAAAAACTTAATAAACTATATAAACTTAATAAGATTTATTAAACTTAATAAGATGTATTAAACTTAATAAATCATTAAGTTTTTTAAGTATATTAAGTTTAATAACTTATTAAGTTTATAAGTTATTAAGTTTGTTAAGTTTATTAAGTTTATGAAGTTTAATAATTTTATTAAGTTTAATAAATTTATTAAGTTTAACAAAAAATATTAAGTTTATTAAGTTTATTAATTTTATTAAGTTTAAAAAAATGTTATGTTTATTAATTTTATTAACTTTAATAATTAAAATCAATTAAGTTTATTAAGTTTCATAAATTATGACCCCATTAACTTAGCTTAAGAACAATTAAATCCGATTATGATGTTGCCACCATAATATCATTTACTTCGTACATGTGACATGTAACATATACTTCGTGTAGTTTTTGACACATTTTTATATATTAGATGGCTTCCATCATATTAGTGTAAACTTCGTGTAGCTGAGAAACTTTTTCCCTAAAAAATATGAGAAAGTTCATAGTGTCAAAGACTGAACTAATAATTACATTCATTCACCTTGTCATTGATTTTGATAAATTTTTAGAATATAATTTTAGACTACAACCAATAAGTTTGAATATACGTTTTATTTTGTTTTAAGCACTTTTGTCAAGTGATGTTATTAATTATTATGGTAAACGTAACTTCTTTTGATACTAATATTGGACAGTTTGGAAGTATGGTACAACTCGATATTGATATTGCTCACAGGAAATTTAAAAAACGCTGAGGTCTCTCTCAACGCACTTGCAATCTGGTAAGCTTTCTCCTGTCAGTTCCAGAAAAAAAAAACTTTCTCCTGTCTTTTGAAGATATACTCTTGGTATATTTATCTTTAGTTTTTTTTTTGTCAGCGATTTATCTTTAGATTATATATTGGTCTCAAAGCAAGTTCGTAATATTCACTAGTGCGAATTAAAAATGATATATAGGTTTTTTTTTGTAACACATAAAATGATATATAGGTTAATGTAACTAATCTTATATAAACTCTCTAGTTGGTAACAGGGAATTGACTGAATCGTTTTGCGTTTTATGATTTATTAGTCATGTGCATTTCTCAGATTTATATTTAGTCATTGTGAAATGTGAATCCGTGATTATATAATAATTCCACCATTTGCGAGTTTGTAGTCGTGTAAAAATTGTCTGTCATAATTGATTTTGTAATTCAGTTATCATCTCTATGTTTTTAGGTTTGACAATTATTCTATTCTACAATATTACTCACAAGAAGCTAAGTTAAGGAGTGATCGTTAATTATTTAATGCAAATTTCGCAGCATCAATATAAATGCAATGGAGATGATGGTAGCCTTCGGCTTCATGGCAGCAGCAAGGTTATAAAATCATTCATATCATATTTTGTCTTTAACAGATATTATGGATTTATTAGTTATACAAAATAATTTAGCATTGATGAGAAACTATAGTCTAGCTAAAAGACAAACAATGATTTATCAATGTGTTTCAAATATTTTCGCAGTTATTAAAGTTAGGATAAGTTAATAACTAACTGAAAATTGTTATTTAAATGAGACTAAATTAAATATTTTCATATTCTCTCTCTCATAATATACATATATATATAGTATACATTTTATAAATATAATAAATTAAAAAAATTATCCATTTTCAAGTTAAGCTAGTGTAAAATATAACATAATTAGATTAATAATATATTAGAAATTTTGTACATAAATCTGTAGTCCCATAAAATACCATAAATCATTAACTCTAAATAAAAATTATATAAACATAAACAAGACATTGTACCATTTATTTTTTATTTTTTTGACGTCAACATACAGATTCATATTGACTCTGCGAACCAATCTGGTAACTCTGTATCCATGTGAACAACGTAGGTCGGTTGTCTTCTGGGACTCCGCCTGTAAATTTAGTGTTCTTGGTACATAAATGATTTCCGAGCTATGAAAACTCCCCTTGAGCATTTTGATATCTTCCAAATAATTTGCAAAGGCTGGCCATTCGTCTGGCTCCGAAACCATCTTCACCAATTGAGAATATTCTGTTTCAAAAATAACTTGATTTTGATGCAAATTCCTCATACTCTCCATTGCCCAAATCAACGCTTCCACCTCCGAATGAAGGGGTGATAAGCTAGCTATGACATTTCTTACTCCCATCAAACCCACAAAACCTTTAAATGTGCTATACCAACCATGGCCATCAAACACATCGTTGTCTTTCCATGAACTATCAATAAAGCACCAACACCCTAGTATGGACGTTAAGGTCGCTACTGTCCCTGACTGTGTTTCACTTTGAGATACCCTGATTTGGGTCTCCTCCTAGAAATTGGATTCTGTCTCTGCCAATTTAAGTGTGTCTTTCGGATCGATATCCAAATTACTAAAATTTTTGCTATTTCACCCTTTCCAAATGTACCACAGTATCCATGCAAAGTAGTGATTTTCCATTTTAGGAATAACCCGCCAAAACAAATGGTTCATATTCGTAAATAGAGACACCGTAGGGAAAGTTGCCGGAGTTAGAGAAGTCTTTGGCAATACCCAAACTTGACGTGCTGGTCGACATTCAAAGAAAACAGAGTTAACCGATTCTTCTTCAGCGCCACATCTATCACACCATATATCCCTTTTTATTCCTCGTGTTTGCAATTGTTTCTTGACAACAATACATCCTGAGAGCAATTGCCACAAGAAATGTTTCATCTTTAGAGGACACCGTACTTTCCAGCAAAATGCTTTTAACGTATCCATTGTAGGTCCATAAAACTCAGGCGGTCTTTCTTTATCCGGGTACACCCTTTCAACCTGATATCCTGACTTAACTGTGTATTTTTCACTCTTGGTGAAATGCCATCCATCCCTATCATCAATTTGTGTCCTACTAAGTGGAATACCTTCTATTAATTTCGCATCCTGTGGATCTACTAAATCCCGAATAATCGGCATATTCTAAGTCCTCGTTTCTGTATTGATTAGAGAATCCATTGTGAGTTCCGGGTAAAAGTTATGTTGGTTTTTATTTGCTGGTCTCGGGCGAGTGGTTGGGAGCCATGGATCATTTCATACTGAGATAGATGATCCTAACCCACCCGTTTAATAAGTCATTTGCTAACCAGAGATCTAGCTGAGATCATACTCCTCCAACCATATGACGGAGAGTATGAGCGGATCGGTTCTAAAGGTGTCGCATTCCTAGTACTGACCTTTGAAAAGACGAGCAAACAAAGAATTTGGTTTCTCAATAAGTCGCCAAAGTTGTTTGCCTAGCATTGCCGTATTAAAATCCTCAAGGTCCTTAAAACCCAAACCCCCTTCATCTTTATCTAGACATACTTTGTCCCATGATTTCCAGTGCATTCCTTTTGTGGTTCCCCCAGGGCTCCACCAAAATTGTGCTACCGCACTCGTTAGTTTCTTCGTAGTTGCTTTAGGTAACCTATAGCAGGACATCACATGATTTGGTAACGCCGTGACCAGTGATTTGATAATCACTTCTTTCTCTCCCTTCGTAAAAAACTGTAAAGTCCAGCCATTAACTCTTTTATTTAATCTTTCCTGAACAAACCCAAATACATGTATCTTAGATGTACGGGACGGATTCAATCTTATCCTCAAGTCCCATCGAATGAAGTCACGGCCCACCACTCGGCCTGAATAAGCCTAAAAATATTTGTGCCCGCAAGACGACAAGGAAGTCAGAGACGAGTACACGTCATCGTCCATACCGAGCAGGAGGATTCGACTCGTCTAAAAGCCCACGGGACAAAGGGCACAGCCCATTAGGGTTTTTTCGTACAGAGACCTATAAAAACTGAGAGATGTTGAACCTTAGAAAGGATCCGAAAATATATCGACTAAGTGGCAGCCAAACTAGGGTTTTACTCATCTTGTTGCTCTTAGATCGGTCCGTACAACTCTGGTAGCCCCCGAGCACCGTTGTCTCCTTTGTAATCACTCTCTTCGATCAATAAAATCCTTCTTCTTTCTACTCATTTGTTCATACCTTCGAAATAACCCACCGACGAGTTTCCGTCGATCATTTACTTGTTGTCACCAAACTCGGTTCAAACAGTTTGCACCCACCGTGGGGCTCGAACCCACGACCAGAAGGTTAAGAGCCTTGAACCTCATCAACACTCCACAGGAGATCGAAACGACCGTAAGAAGGGGTACATTTATCATGTCATGGAGACAAATCTCCCCCGTCCACTGTCGCAGTTCGGGGAAAAGGCTGGAACCATTACTACCGCGAAGACGATGGCGCCAAGTCACACGCTGGATCTAGGTCCCCACGCAAAAACGAAACGAACAAATTCTGCAAATATCACAACACCAAGAGTCATGATACCAAGGACTGCAGACATCTAGGCGAGCACCTCATCGCAAAGTATGCAGCCGGGCAGATCGACGCCGAGCCTCCAAAGCCGAGGACGAACACCGATAAAAGCTGGAGCAAAAACAAGGACAAGAAATCTAAGAAGGCGAACGAAAATGAAGGAGAAGCTCGCCCCGGCGCATCCGACGATGAAGGAGAAGCTCGCCCCGGCGCATCCGACGATGAAAATGCTGCGGGTCACCCCTGAGATGAACAAGATGCCGACGAGGAACAGCCCAAGAATAGGAAAGGGATCCAATTCATCCTCTCCCGAAGGGAATTATCATCGGATGATGACACCGGGTCTTTTGATCTCCGAGCATACCTCAACGTCCGTCGCAAGGGGACACACTCTGCCGACCTTCGAGATCAACTTAACACGAAGAAAGCACGAAAGCAGGGCAGCACCAGTACTACCTCGACTGTTGTTCCTCAATATAACACCGAAGACCTACAACACACGTTAGAAAAAATGAAGGCGCCAGATTTACGTCAAATGCTCGATCAAAAGAAGGCCCTCACCACTGGAATTGAGTCTTCCCAGACGCGAGTCACTCAAGCGGAGACTGCGCACGATACTCGTTTAAACGTTATTATGGGCGGCTCCCCCCCCCCCCCCGTGTGGAGACTCGGTCCGATCGGTAAAGGCTCACCAACGTCAGGCTGTCGCTTCCAAAAAGTGGCCGTCTAAGCCGGAAGACAGCCCACCTATTACTTTCTCTCCCGCAGATGCCGTCGGCGTGCACATG